GGCAGAGGTTGCAGTGAGCCAAGATCGTGCCACTGCACTCCAGCCTGGGGAAAAAGCGTGAGACTCTGTCTCAAAAAAAAAAAAAAAAAAAAAAAGAAGGCCTTAAAATATCAGTATGCTGCCTTAAAATACCAGTGTATCATAAGTTGGAGAGTTTAAATGTCATGACAGGATGCACAGGGTCTTTGGTTTTATGGTAAACTCACCACAGAGTAGCAGGTACTATTCATTGCCCACCTGATAGCCATTCCTCCTTTTTATTTCCTAGCAGAACCTTTATTTCATTCAACTGTCCATCTCTGCCCTATATTTCATGCCCATTCCAGGTGACTGATCTAGCGGCTGGTATATGACCCAGTTCTGGAGAATGAGGAGAAGTTATGAGAAAGGGTTTCTCACTCTTAGGAAAGGACACAATGGATTAGCAGTCTCACTTATATCTAAGATACTGTTGTAGAAATAAGATACTCACTTATTTCTAGATACTTTTAGGCTTATGATGCCTAAAACTGTGTTAGGCATTTGTGTTCATGAGAGGAACTAGCCAAAGCCAAAATATTCAAAATGGCAGAGTGAAGAGACAGAAAAAAATGGTGCTAATGATGCTAAGTTCTCTGAAACTAGCATACCTCAGGATTTTTATTATGGGAAACACTAAAATCTCCTTGTTTGCACAATTTTGAGTTGGTTTTCTTAAAATTTTTCCTAAAGGCATTCTGGTTTTTTTTTCTTTATTATTCTTAAAAGCATTCTAACTGATTTATTTGCTTTCTCTCAAACAGCTCATTTCAAAGAGGCAATGTATGGTTAGAAGTGAAGGCCATCAGGACAATGGTGCTAAAGACAGCAACTAGCTCTGAAATAAATTGTTAAGAGTGCCTTAAGTTCTCCATCCAAATGTAGTCTGCTCATCTCTCCTATTCTAGATACCTGCGTTAGGAGACTCCAGTCCAATGGCTGACTGAGAGTTTAGGATCAGACTCAGTCAACAAATTTACCTGATTTTCTGAAAGTCAGCAATTCTGACTGCCTTACTGTGATGCCCTGCCTCCAACAGCCTGTTCCAGAGCACATGGTCAAAGTACATTAAGCCCTGGATATGTTCCCCTCAGTATGACAAATAATTGTACCGAATAAATGAAGGGGCCAACATTAACATTCCATGTTAAGGCCAGGAAAAGAAGTTGGTAATAACCCTTTAACACTGTGGAACCTCCCTAAAGAACACCAATAAGAAAAATATTGCCAATTTCTTTATTTTTACTTAAAAGTAAATGTAAAACTACCTCACAGAAAAAGGATTTGGACATTAAAAAATGTATTAATATTTAACTCCACACTTCTCTACTTCAAAAACATAAATTTTCAAATATTATAGTAACTTATACCCTGTCATAATTTTAAATTTGCCTACTCTTATATGCTCTAAATCAGGAGTTATCAAACTTTTCCTATAAAAAGTCAAAGAATAAATATTTTTGGCTTTGTGAATGATATCATATCTGTTACAACTACTCAAATCTGCCGTTATGCTTACTTTGACAGTAAACTTCTATGATACAAAAATGAATTGTCTGGCGGGGTATGGTGGCTCACACCTGTAATCCGAGCACTTTGGGAGGCCGAGGTGGAAGGATCACTTGAGCCCAGAAGTTGGAGACCAGTCTGCACAACAAAGTGAGACACTCCATCTCTACAAAAAAACTGCAGGCGTGGTAGCGCACACCAGTAGTCTCAGCTTCGAAGAAGGCTCAGCTGAGAGGATTCTTTGAGCCCAGGAGGTCAAGGCTGTAATGAGTCATGATCACGGAACTGGATTTCAGCCTAAGCAAAGGAGGAAGACCCAATCTCAAAAAAAAAAAAAAAAAAAAAAAAAAAAAATGCTGGCTGTATTCCAATGAAATTGTATACATAAAAACATGAGTTTGCCCATGGAGTTAGTTCATAGATCTGTAGTCAGCTGATGCGTAGTCTAAATCCTCACTTTATCTAACTCAAACACTTTTAACCTAAGTGGTATATACAGCTGAAATAGCATATGGCCATTTTTGCTTCCCTAGTAAACACTGTAGTCTGATAAATTCTCTTACTGCTTCAAATTTGACTCATTTAGCTTAGTTCCCTACAGCACTTCCCTGTAAGGTAAGATTTGTACCATTAGTTCAGACCTGTCACTAAGTAATCCATAGACAGGATGAATCTTAAATAATCTACAGAATATTACAAAAATGTCCTAAAAAGCCTCCTAATTTTTGAGGCTCCTCTATTGAGACCTGCTGAGTCAAAGTTTTAATCCCTATTTCTTACGATTTTGATTTTCCAAAAACTCTGGAAAATAGAAGAATTCAGGAATGAGTTCTTTCACATCATATGGATTATCCATGAGAGCTTGCCAGGTAGCAGGAATAGAATGAAACTGTCGATCTGCACAGTCAAATCTGCATGTAGAAATTAAAAGAGAATGTAAATATTGAATGACATCAACAAGAAGGCATGAAACAAAGCCTTTTAAACTCCCTTCAGGGTTCCTAATGATTAGCGGTATTGTTTTCTGAATCTTCCTCTTTAATGCCTACACATACAATTTATTCTCTTTATTATGATAATCTTTCATATTTTGTTGTCAGAAACTAAACACTCTAATTTTAATCACCAGTAGCACCTTAGTTGAAGTAGGTGAAAACCAAACCACACTAGATAAAAATTTCAAACAAGTTAAATATAATCTTAAAGTCTTTTTTAAAAATAGCATTTTTGCAAATTAAAATTTATTACAGAAAGTGAATATTGTTTCAATATTTGAAAATCACAGAGTATAAATATGATTATAAACATTATAATGTAAATATACTTGGTTAATACATCTACATGAATGCTGCTAATTTAATCACTGATATATAAATATCTTTACAAACTCATCTGCTTAAAACCAGAGGTTGAGTTAGGGAAATAGCTCTGTGACTAAAGCTTTTATGTTTTACTTGCATAATCTATTGTCTTATTTTAATTTTATTTAATTTTTAATTAAATTTTTTACTTAGAGATGAGGGTCTTTCTACGTTGTCCAGGCTGGAGTGCAGTGGCTATTCACAGGCACCATCATAACGTGCTGCAGTGTCAAACTGCTGGCCTTGAGCGATTCTCTCACCTCGGCTTTCCAAGCAGCTGAGACTAAGAAGACCTCGCCATAGCTCCTGGCTTAATTTTATTTATTTAAATTTAATCATGGGCACTGCATCTACGGTAGCTGAATGAAGCTCAAGTGAACATGCTGTAATTGTATTATGCTTTCTCTAATCACGAACAGTATAAAACCCTTATATTATTTCATCTGATATTGTTTTTCTGGATTTATTAAGTATATAATGGCCTTGAGTCTAAGGTAAAGCCATGCTACAAGGAAAAAAAGTGACATTAATGACTAACTTGACTCTTATGTTTTACACCTATTTAATCTTGGTTTGAGGCAGAGCTGATCTTAGCAGAATTTTGAATTTAATTACAGACATTAGAGCACCTAAAACATTGTGGTATATTCAAGAAGAGGTATAGTTTTAATTGAGATAAAATTAAGCTATCTAAATTGCTCATTTTAAGTGGACAATTCAAGGGTTTAGTTCAATATATTCATAGCTGTGCAACTATCATCACAATGAATTTTACAACATTCTCAGCACTCCAAGAAGAAAAGTTGCACCTATTAGCAGCCACTACCCATTCACCCTACTCCCACCCCTGGAGACCGCTAATGTACCTTCTATCTCTAGGCCTATTTTTATTTCATTTTACCTGTTTTGACTGTCTATTTTGGACATTTCATGTAAATCATGTAATATGTGGCCTTCTGTTTCTGGCTTATTTCATTTGGCATAATGTTTTCAAGGCTCATCCATATTATAGCTTGTATCAATATTTCATTCCTTGAATTAATTCATGGGCAAATAATATTCCATTGGGTGGATATGTCACATTTATTTATTCATTTATCAGTAGATGAACACTGGTTTGTTTCTACTTTTTGGTTATAAATTATGCTGGTATGGCCAGGTGTGGTGACTGACGCCTATAATCCCAATACTTTGGGAGGCTGAGGCAGGCGGATCACTTGAGATCAAGAGTTCGAGACCAGCCTAGGCAATATGGCAAAACCCCTTCTCTACCAAAAATACAAAAAAATTACCTGGGTGTGGTGGCACGCACCCATAGTCCCAACTGCTCTGGAGGCTGTGGCAAGAGAATTGTTTGAGCCTGGGAGACGGAGGTTGCAGTGAGCCGAGACTGAGCCACTGCACTCCAGCCTGGGCAACAGAGTGAGACTCCGTCTCAATGAAAAAAAAAAACTGGTGTGAATATTTGTGTACAAGTTTTTGTGTGATATATGTCTTCAATTATCTTAGGTATGTATCTAGAAGTGGAATTGCTAGATTATACAGCAATTCTATATTTAACCTTTTTTTTTTTTTTTTTTTTTTTTTTTTTTTTTACATTTTTTTTTTTTTTTTTTTTTTTTTTTTTTTTTTGAGACGGAGTTTCACTCTTGTTTCCCAGGCTGGAGCGCAATGGCGCGATCTTGGCTCACTGCAGTCTCTGCCTCCTGGGTTCAGACAATTCTGCCTCAGCTTCCAGAGTAGCTAGGATTATAGGCATCTGCCACCGTGCCCAGCTAATTGTTGAATTTTTAGTAGAGACAGACCATGTTTGCCAGGCTGGTCTCAAACCCCTGACCTCAAGTGATCCACCTACCTCAGCCTCCCAATGTGCTGGGATTACAGGCATGAGCCACCACACCTGGCCCTCTATATTTAACCTTTTCAGGAACTGCCAGATTATTTTCCACAAAAGCTGCACCATTTTACATTCTCATCAGCAGTATTTATAAGGGTTCCAATTTCTCCACATGCTCATCGACACTAATTATTATTTGTCCTTTTTATTATAGCTATCATAGTGGGTGTGAGGTGGCATCTCACTGTGGTTTTTGTGAGCATCTTTTCATATGTTTATTGAACATTTGCATATGTCCTCTGAAGAAATGTTTATTCAGATCCTTTGTCTATTTTTTAATTGGGTTGTCTTTTTATTATTTAGCTGTAAGAGTTCTTCTCTCTTTTTTTTTAAACGGAGATGGGTATCTCACTATGTTGCCCAGGCTGGACTTGAACTCCTGGGCTCAAGCAATCCTTGTGCCTCAACCTCCTGAGTAGCTGAAGTTACAGGTGTGTGCCACCTTACCTTGAGTATAATGGTTCTTTATATATTCTAGGTACAAATCTATAAGTCCTTTATCAGATATAGTTTTCATTTCTTTTTTTATTTGTTTTCAGACAGAGCTTTGCTGTGTCACCCAGGCTGGAGTACAGTGGTGCAATCATGGCTCCCTATCGCCTCAACCTCCTGGGTTCAATCTATCTTCCCACCTCAGCTTCCTGAGTAGCTGGGACTATGATCAGCACCACCACACCCGACTAATTTTCTATTTTTTGTAGAGATGGGGTTTTGCCATGTTGCCCAGGCTGATCTCAAACTCATGGGCTCAAGTGATCCACCTGACCTGGCTTCCCAAAGTGTTGGGGATTAAAAGTGTAAACCACCATGTCTGGACAGTTTTTACTTTCTTGATGATGACCTTTGGAGTATTATAAAATCTATTTTTCAAGCTCTGTAAAAAATCATTTAGCCATAAAATTATTAAAAGGTGAAATGACCCAGCTATACATTGCTGCATTTTTTCTTTTCTTTTTTCTTTTTTTTTTTTTGTGAGACTTTCTCACTTTTTTACCCAGGCTAGAGTACAGTGGCACAATCTCAGCTCACTGCAACCTCCACCTCCCAGGTTCAAGCAATTCTCATGCCTCAGTATCCTGGGTAGCTGGGACTACAGGTATGCACCACCATGCCCAGTTAATTTTGTTTGTATTTTTAGTAGAGAAGGGGTTTCACCACGTTGACCAGGCTGATCTCGAGCTCCTGACCTCAGGTGATCCACCCACCTTGGCCTCTCAAAGTGCTGGGATTAGAGGCATGAGCCGCCGTACCCGGCCTACTTTATTGCATCTTATGGGGAGAAAAGTAACTGCTATTATGGTACATGTAACATCTGGGGATGTTTAGTGACCTTAGGGCCAGAGTCTCTTCTTGAAAGCCAAGGCTTATTGTACATAGACAGAAATAAGGAACCCAGGCTAACTGTGAGAACAGAATAGGCAATATTCACATAGCTCAGGATTGGGTGGGAAAGGCAAAATGGTTGTTAAAGAATAAGGCAAGATGGAGACAAAACATGTATAAATAGGGAGCTTTGTGGAGGATTTATTGAGGAACAGAAAATTCATGGAAAAGCTGGTTTCCTTAGGATTATTAGGAAAATGTACAACATAGGTAAGTTATAATACCCACAGTGTAAATACAGTGGTATCACAGACTTGTTTGAGCTGCTGCAATAATGTTAAGAGTCTCTTATTGCTACTCCTTCTACTCCTCTTCATACATACTTTTAAGACTACATAGGCATAGGCATTGGCTCAATTTGACTCTCCGGTGATGCCTTAAATTTAGCTCTAAATCAGATCTAATTATAAATCTCTGGTAGATTCCTCAAAACAGTAAGAATCACAAAGGTACACTGGGATAACACTGAAAAAGGAATTTTCCTTAAGTCACTTGTGTGAGTCAGTTTGAGTGACTTATTCTCAAACTAGTTTATCTATTTCTAGCTGAATTGAAATTTCATACAGGAGAATAAAAAAAGATATCTTATACAGTACATGACGTGAAGGCAAACAGTTTCCAACAGTAACATAAAGTCATAAAAAAATAGCTTATTTACTTGAAACATACCTTCCACTCTGAAGCTGGATGTGGAGGGTGGTGAATGGTTCTACACGAATGAGATAGTGCATGACCCCTGCAGAATTTGAATAGTGAGTACCATAATGAAACTTATCAATAGTTCCCATAGGATCCTCAAAATTTTCATATCTGTGAAGAAAAAAATCCTAAAGTTTTATAACCACAATAATAGAATACATAGGGGCATAAGTTTGTATTTTATTTCTGAAAACACAGTTTTTTAAAAGTCTATCCTTTTTCATATGCCTCATTATCAAACTCCGTACTCATATCATCATTATACCATACTAGCAAATGAAAAAATTTTATTTGTTAATACTTCTTTTCTGAACAATGAAATATCACAAACAATTCTGGAATAGTTTTGTATTATGCAATAATAATACATGTTCATTGCAGAAAAATCAGAAGAGAATTACAACAGAAGACACTTAAAGTCAACCTACAATTTCACATCCCAGAGATAATTAACACTAATCTTTTGGTGAATATCTATCTATCCTAATGTATAAGTTAATATACAAATTTTTTACATAAAAATGCTATATATATTATTCATGACATATTTTGCATTTAACAATTTTCTGTGGACATCAAGTGATTGAGTAGTCTATTTTTAACACGTATATAATATTGTATAGATATTCTACAATTGAACTATTTATTTACCTTTTAGACACTAAGACTGTTTCCCTTTTTTTTTTTTTTTTAATCTAGTATAAAGCACTATGATAACTAGACATCCTTTTGTGGCCAAGGTAACAGAAAAAAAAAAATGGAGAACTAGTCAAGAATTACGGAAATTAACGCCTAGGAATTTAAAGGTAAAACAAAAAAAGAGACGGTAGATAGGAAAAAGGCCTAAACCAGATTATTAGCAAAAGATACATAGTGATTCTTCAAGCTCTATCACTGATATAAGCATAATTAGTCTGAATGGTGACATCTGAAATGAAAGATTTTGTAGGTCATAAACACTGAATTTCAAAAACCAAAACAGTAATTGGTTCATTAAGCTGGGGCCAATTTCCTTTTACATACTAATCATTAATATTCAGGGGAATAAAAAAGTTTTCAGGTCAAAGTTATTTGTATCTATGCAAAAATATACCACAAAAATGTAAAACAACTTGCATCTTTATCAATATAATAAGTTATATATATAAGTATTTCCTGTAGAACACTTTTAAAAAATTACAAGGCCTTCTTTTGGTTACTATCAGAAAAGAAAAGTATGACTAATGGTAGTGATGAAATACATATATACAAAGCCAAGTTCCACTGGTAAATCAAATCAAATCAAATATTAAACATTGCAACAAGTCCTAGGGAAGATCTGCAAAGAATTAGAGGAAAAAAAGTACCATCTACTTTCATATCAATCTATAACTAAGTGAATTTGTAAAACAATTTGTCCTTATTAAAATTCAAAATTCAAAAGTCATCCCTAAGTTCACAGGGAGAAAAAGGGAAATTAAAATCAGGTTATTCTTTTGCCTGTGGGCAGCTTGCTTTGAAAAAATTAATTGTATGAAATTGGAACTTATATTTAAAAAAGAAAAAAAAAAAGAAAAAAATAATTGTGAGAAGTTGTTGGGGTAGATCATAAACAGAACTATAAAATTTTCTTCTTATCAAAATGACATGTTCTAAATTGCCACATATTCACTCTTCTTTATTCATATTATTACTGAATAACACATCAGTATTAGTTGTATATCTACCCAACTATTATATTAGATACTTTAATATGTTTGATTATTAGGTTATACAGTTTAAAATATCTGGGAAAAAAAATTTCAAGAATTTATTACTCTTTAGCACATACTTATTACACGGTAAAAAGACATTCTGAGCAATATCAATTTAAATTTGATGAAGGGAAATCAACAGAACTATAGTCAAAAGATTTCTGAAAGGCAACCAAGATATTTTCTTTTTTCTTTCTTTTTTTTTTTGAGACAGAGACTCACTTTGTCGCCAGGCTGGAGTGCAGTGGCACGACCTCAGCTCACTGCAAACTCCATGTCCTGGGTTCAAGTGATTCTCCGGCCTCAGGGAGTAGTTGGGACTACAGGTGCATGCCACCACACCCAGCTAAGTTTTGTACTTTTAGTATAGATGGGGTTTCACAGTGTTGGCTTGGATGGTCTCCATCTCTTGACCTCATGATCCACTTGCCTTGGCCTCCCAAAGTGCTGGGATTACAGGCGTGAGCCACCGCGCCCAGCCTGCCAAGATATTTTCAAGAAAATTTAGTGAAGTAACTATCAGACTCTGATTATCAAAAATAGTAGCAAGGTTAAAAAAATTTTTTTGGTTGGCCATAGTAAAAAATCAATACAAATTCATACAAGCAATGTGTCTTTTTCAAAAGGAATAAGGAGCACTTACTTTTCTCGCATAGCTTTGGCATTTTTATCGTTAACTACCCCAATTGGTTTGGAAAGATCTCGAAATACAGCAGGGTTATTAAGGTCCAACTCTTCTGAAGTATAATCTTGTAAAATCCAGGGAAACTAAAAGAGCCATAATTTACAATTTAGACATTCCTTCCTAAAGAAGCTAATATCCCCATATCTAATATCAAATGCTTATCTAAAGACAAAAAGGGGTAGTCTCTAAAAATACTTTTCCCTGTTATAAATACCATTCAGCTTTAGTTCAATAACTAGAAGCATTATTTCCTATAATTCCACTGGAATATTTTCTTTTCTTTTCTTTTTTCTTTTTTTTTATTTTGAGATGAAGTCTTGCTCTGTTGCCAGGCTGGAGTGCAGTGGCACAACCTGAACTCACTGCAACCTCCACTTCCCAGGTTCAAGTGATTCTCCTGCCTCAACCTCCCGAATAGCTTGGACTACAGGCATGCGCCGCCATGTCCCGCTAATTTTTGTATTTTTAGTAGAGATGGGTTTTCACCCTGTTGGCCAGGATGGTCTCGATCTCTTGACCTTGTGATCCACCTGCCTCGGCCTCCCAAAGTGCTGGGATTATAGGCGTGAGCCACCGCGCCTAGCCTTTTCTTCTTCTTCTTCTTTTTTTTTTTTTTTTTGAGACAGTCTT